GTGGATTTGAATAATTATTCATTCATTAAACAACATTTATTTCCCTAAATGTTAAATAATATTTATAGTAAATCATTATTATAACAAGAATGTATGTAAATAAATTAATAATATGAAAAACGATTAACTAGGATCTTTAATGGCAGATAAAAATGTCTTTTCACGTAGGATACTCACAGAAACAACATAATTTAAATAAAAACATTAAAAAGGCAAATTATACGCCGTGCTTAAAATATTGGAACCACGCTTAAAAAAATATTAATGCAAATGCAAGGTCAATAAACAGACTTAGCGTGTCACTTGCTATGCACTAAAATAGCCATTGTTTGTATCCACCCTTTAGAATTTTGTGCACCACCCTTAAAATTTTGAGGACATTTTCTGAAATTTCACCATTCTTTAAATATGCTGGTGAAAGGGTTGCGATGGGGAACATAAGACAATGGAGAGGGTGAAAACAGTTCCATAATAAAAAAATACTGTCCCTAAAGGTAAAATTGGACAATGTTAATGAGAACCTCAGACGACAAAAGAATTCCCCTTAAAATATGTTTTAAATGTAGTAGTAGTATCCGACGACAAGCCATCAAGAAAAAAACTAAACTGGAACAACTCTCTCGACACGAAATGTTTAGTGTATCATACAAACGTACGAACTGACCACAAGCACCTCTGACCACAAGCAATCAAGACACAAGACTAGACAAGAACGACTCGTTCGACACGAAAATTTTAGTTTATTGTTAGTTTATTTACAAACATTCAAATACCTCTGACCGCAAGCAATCAAGGAAAGACTAGACAAGAACAAACCCGCGCGACACGAAAAGTTTAGTGTATTATACAATTTTTGTTAATGTTGCACATCTTTACGGTTGTGCCTCTGTTATAAAAGAGAAGCAATAAAGTTACTTACTTACTTACAAACGTTGAGACCGCTACACAACGGCCTTTGCTTCGAGATTTGAGCATGAAGGCAAGGCAAAAGCAGCTTTCTTAGCTACGTTTTTTGTCCGCTGATCGGTTAAAAAACGTATTTCATTTTTATTTTATCACTAAAAAACAACTACTGTAAAATGTTTAGCCTATAAATGGGATGTGTGTGAAGAAAATATTAAACAATATTTTAATTTGGACCTTCAAAAAGCAGTAAAAAGAAATTACTATGAAATTTTAGGGGGGGGGGGTGCTAAAGCCTGTTTAGCCCCCTCTAAATCCGCCCCTGACCGTGCATCAGTGGCGGCCCGCTGGATCTCAATAGAGATTCTTTAATAATATATAAATTTTAAAAGGCAAATGGGAAAAACCCATAAAACAACAAACGGCCACATAATGCAAAACCATTTAAAATTAAAACGGAACAGTAGAGAAAATCCGATCAGAATGACAAAATAAACTAAGCATCCACTGGAAGGAATCCCAATATCTGCAGACAGATCCGTTTCGGCCTTCCAGGCCTCATCAGTGCAGCTAAG